GTGTGTTGTGATGGATCCACGTTTCATCAACGGTTACGGAACGTCGCAAAAACTCGTTCGGATTACTATGGAACATCGCTAGATATTCATTTGAAATGGTCACACGGGAGCGCTTATGGTCAAGTGTCAGCAATCGCGGCACCCATCGTGCGGATAGCTGTTTCATATCCAAATTTTCATGTAAAATTTAGCCTACAGTATCAGCCACCTCATACACTTCTATTATCCGATCGTCCAGTATCGTTCCATGAATTTTAGCGACCATTTCTTTCGTAACAACATCTTTTGGACGACCTGAACGTTCTGCGTCATTTGTGCTGGTACGACCACAACGAAACTCAGTAAACCACTTCTTAACCATTGAAACTGACATTGAAACGCATTGAAACTGGAGACTATGGGGAATCTATAGTCTCTATCAAGCTTTTCCATCGTTTCTTTGATGGTTTTTTTACGTAAAAAATATAATGCGTGATCGGCACTCGAAATTCACTTTTTTCCATTTTTGTCGAAATTGACGAAGTCATCTCCTTTCAATGACTGTTAAGCAAGAACTGAATTACGTAGTTCAAAATTTCCCAGCAGTCTACCAACAGACGACAGTTGACGGGAGTAGTGTTGAATTTAAAGTTACTGGGCGGGAAATTAGAAAAGGCACTGACTTATCAAACGACCCTTGCAACAACGGTTAGGGAACAACGCCAATTTCTGCATAACCCAACAGCTGTAACACCTTTGATATTTTTCCATCTAATTCAAAAGCAGTAAATTTTTCATATAAAGCATCTCAAATAAGCTTACGTTAAAATTTGATGGTCCTGCTTACACTGCATATTTGGTCAATACCACACGTGCTCCACGCACCCCGCACATTGGAAAATAATTTTAGAATGGCCTTAATTTTAGAAAGGCTTAAAAGCCTAAGGCCGCTTTTCACAACGCAATCTTAACTGAATCTGAATCCCAACCTCATTAAAATGGTCGCGCACGATCAGAGCTCGGTGAGGTCTGGCATTATCCTCTGTAAACAAGAAATGATGGCCTATTCTCTAAATCGTCTTGAATGTACTTCTGTCAAGTCAATGGTCTTCCTCGGATCATCACGAGGTCCGTATGGGCCTCCAAAGAAATCCCGCCCCAAAAAAATATTGATCCACCGAGGAAAGCCAGTTGGGGAACCATACATGCTTGGCAATATCTTTCTCCTGGTCTTCCCCAAATAAGGGCTAAAGATTTTAAACCCTCTCTAACTCCATCAGTAAACACGACTTTCTTCCAGTCATCCAAATCCCAATCCACGGGTTCTCGAGCAAACTTAACATTGGGGATACCTTTCTTCCAACAAGGTGACAATTTTGACCGCATCAAACTSACTTAAATTTCTTCCTGGGGACATTTCAATGCGAATGCACTTTAGYGRTACACACAAGATAGGAAAAACGCAAGAAAATTKAATCGAAAATAGTACCAGACTTAGTGAAAACAATRATGAGATGTTGCAAATGACAGAAAACAARTAGAAACTTGYWTTGGAATGAATAGAAAAAGAGCAAAAACAATTGGTTYTGTACAATATTACTATTGTTACGTTACTGACCTACTTGAGAAAAAATATTTATTCGAAAATGTAKACRTGATGAGCTAATTTTGTYYATAAGTGTAGATATTTAAAACAAAAATAGTATAAAAAACACGACAAGTTGAGAACTTTCGCTCACAAAATAGCTTTGGCGATCGCTCGGATATGCCTACACCCATCTCCGACAAATTACCACCGCATCGCCCAACAAGATTAAACTACGCGTGCGTCAGATGCTCAACGGATCGGCTGTGCAACCAGAATTGCATCCAGCGAACGGCAGGAGGCCGGCGCATCGTGAGAGTCGACTATGCATACCGGCCTAAGTGGTTCGATGTTCGTGACTTTTTAATTTCAAAAATGTATTAACTAAAAATAAAAAAGTACTTAAAAATACTAGCTGTTTTTACCTAATATAAGGAGTAAAACTTGATGACAGAAAGTATTTTTTGTGTTGTATGTGTGTGTTTTTTTTTTTCTGTTTTATGGCATTGGTCTTTTCGTTTTGTTATAGGTGACCAATCATGACCGAAGACATCGAACAGTACCCGGACCGAGTGGCCGACATGTATAAAGATAAAACTATTTTTATCACGGGAGGTACGGGATTCATGGGAAAAGTGCTCGTCGAGAAATTGTTGAGAACATGCAGCGATTTGAAAAAAATCATTATACTCGTTAGAAACAAGAAAGGAAAATATCCCATGGAAAGAATCCGGGAGATTTTAGCAGGACCTGTAAGTACATTTCCATGAAATAATATGCAAGTGTATAGAAATAAATTACTCGGACTTGAAATGGTATAAAAAATTCGGATTGTTGGTGACTCCGTTAAAGATGTAAAATTATTTGAGTTAACCAACTACTTTAATAGAAACAGATATATTTTAACCTTTTTTATTGGGACACCTTGTATATAATAATATAGGCTATTCCACAATAGTTGTTCATAAAAGTCAACTCTTTTACATATTTCGATTAGTTATATTTTGAAACTGTTATCCAACATTTATAAACTACATTGATGCATTGGGAAAAATTGGTGTGTCCTTGGATTGCACGTTACTCGTTCACACATCCAGTACACTGAAAACATTTAGAGAGATAAAAGTGGAAATATAGGGAATTTGCAGTCCGCAAAGTTAAACTCAGTCAATAACGATCAACGTAGCTCCCTCAAATCTCTTTAATTTCTTCTTGATTAACCATGCCGACTCCCTCCTGATCTACTAGTCTATTTACTGTATTTATTTTATATTTTCGGGTAATTTATCTTTCTTTTCTGTGAACCTTAAAAGATTCTAATTCTTCTCCCTGCTCCTTTAATTCATTTTCTTTCGCTTCTCAAATTTTGGATCGAATTTTTTTCTAGATGTGCTTATATCAATCATCTTATCTGAGCACGTCGTCTTTCTTCCATTAGTTGGAAGATTTCCTCTGTTATCCACGATTTATTTTCGGTTCTATCATATCTCAATAGCTTATCCTTAACATTTATCACTTTGGTGTATAGTTTTTAAATTTCTTCTTCAACAGTCGAGAAATTCGTTGAAACTGTAGGGTCCTCAGTGAGTCCTGCTTTTGCTTGTTGCCTTATCATGGCTTCTTTCAATTTATTCTCGTCAAATCTGTTTTTCTTATTTTTCTTTTTTGTCTCATTAAGACTTATCTTGAACATTCCTGCTTCCTGCTAGCCGTACAGGATCTGATTGTAGGTCAATCCCAGGGTATGTTTTCACCGAGGTACAAATATGTATGTATCTTTTGCTTACCAGGATGTAATCAGTCTGGTTTCTAACCATGTGCGTCTTGAGGTGACCTCCAGATATTCAATCTTCTTTTCGGCAGTATAAATAATCTATTCATAATTACTAGGTTTCGTTTGTGTGCGAAGATACTCAGTTGTCTCCTTCTTTCATTCTTGTCTCCCAGTCTATATGGACCTATAAGCTTGTCTTCCATTAACGATCTTTAAATTGTCCTCTTGTCTCCCATTACTTTTGTCAGATCTTGTTTTGGTTGTTTTCTCTTTATATTATCAAATCAAGCGGGTAAAATGATGTCTTCTCATCGTCATACGAGCCATAACCAGATCTTTTTTGTCCTTTCTATTCACAATCTGTCCTGGGACAATAAGTAAATTTTATATGTATATACCTTGATATTTGCTGAGCTAACATGTGAGTCTCACCCAATGAAGAGAACGCCCTTAAAATAAATTTGAAAAAGTTTAACTTTGGCGAGATGCGTGGATAATTAAAGATAGAAAAAGAAAGGAGGCGCCTTCTTCTTCAGCATTTATATATCTTCAATCAGGTGATGGTTCTATTAGTTGTCAGCAGATCCGTTGCTAGTAGTTATATTTGGATGAATTGAGGTTTGTGTAGCTGGAATCGTCGATATTTATTCAGTAACTATTTTTAGTTGTAGGCCCTTCCTGATTAATTAATTTGGAGCAAACAGGGAGCATTTACGATTTCTCTCAGGAATTTCGATTCAAACCTCTCAATAATTTCGATGCTTGATTTAGAAGCGTTACCCCATAGTTCAGCTCCATGCATCCAAATTGGATTGAGAGGGATAGTTATCTTCTTCCTAGTAACCAGTACATTTTTATTAGCTTCAGATTTAGCTGCTTGCGCTTTGCCCAGATATGATCATGCCAAGTTAGACGACGATGCAGGTGAAGTCCAAGATATTTGACATGCATATTCTGAGGAATTTCTTTCTCATTTACTACGGTGCTGGGCACATCTCCGGTCTCAAAGTGAAAGTAATATGTGTCGACTTAATCTCGATTACCTAGATTCGCCAAATTTTAAACCATTTGCTGATTATGTTTAGAGAGTTTTGTAATTTTTCAGAAGCTATTGATGGGTTGGTATCTAAAGTTAATACAGCAGTTATATTTCCGTCGTAGGGTATATCTGATGTGTAAAGCAAATACAATGTTGGACTCAAACGCTTCCGTGGAACGCCGGCTCTGATCGGGTACAGTTTTGTGATCCTTTCGGCTATTTTAACTCGAAAGGTTCTGGCTTTGAGATAAAATTTGAGGAAATTGTGTAAATTTCTTGGAAACCATTTGGACAACTTGAGTAATAACCCTTTATGCGAAACTTTGTCGAAGGTCTGAGCTACGTCTAGAAATTTTGCAAAGCAATATTTCTTATCATCAAGAGCATTTCTGATTTTACTAGCTATTTTGTTTACTTGCTCAGTTGTACCAAAATGGCGACGAAAGCCAAATTAGTGAATAGCTTTTTCGCAGATATGATTTTGTTGAGCCTCTTGAGGAAATCGTTTACGCACACTTTAGCTTGCATATGAAGAAGACTTGCTAACGTATAGGAAGTCACCAAACCTGGATCCTTACTTGGTTCTGGATAAGAATTATCTGTGCTACTTTCCACTGATCAGCAAAGTGTCCCAGGTGAAAGGTGGCATTGATTAGAATCGATATGAATCTCATTGCTTTGTATGGCAATTCTGTTTTGCCGGTAATACCATTGTATCCTGGAGTCTCTTAGCTTTGAGGTTTCTAATGATTTGTTTCACTTCTTTGTAATTTGTGTTTCTGATAAGAGTATCAGTTTCCTCGTGAGGCTCTGCCGTCTGTGATGGATTGCATCTCACATCATCCTGTAGCCAGATCTAAAACTATCGTATCAGAAACTACGATTTAAATCAATTAAACGAAATTGAAAATTAAATTAGAATGTTAAAAATACTTTTACTCGTTTTCGGGTTTAAAAAACGTTCAGTGTTTGAAAATACACACAAAAAGACATAGTTTTAACATATTTAGTGGTGCACGTAGGATTTTTGGAAATCATACTTTATTTACCAATCTTCACGGGAATGAATTTTTGACAAAAATATCTATTCAGGGTGTTCGGATAATGCGTTAGGAAACTTTTAAAGGTGATTCTACATGCTCAAATAATGATAGTAAGTCATATAAAAAAAATCGAAATCTAAGTATTTTCCGAGTTACACTTCATCAAACTTATTTTTTTTTACCTATTCTAGCCATTTATTGGCAGATCAAATTGAAAATCGTTACAGTGTCTTAGCTTAGTGATCTATAAATTTCTCACAAAAACTGTTTCTCCACTGTGCCTCCAGAGGGCACTTTACTTGAAATCCAAATATAATTTTTCGTATAATTTTTTTGACACGCCAAACATTGCAAAAAATTTCATACGGTTTGAAAGGCTAGAAAATTGTAGACAAAAAATGTGCTTTTTCCATGACTCGAAAAACCTCTTCGTTTAGGAGCAAATCGCATCAAACTTTTTATCACCCTCAATCCAGTGGCCTTGTATTTCATTCATACCGCAGCAAATCAACTCATAACTTATTTTATTTGAAACGCATTTATGCCAATATGCAAAACTTTCTCCAAAATCTAAAATTATGTAGAACACTAAAAAAATTAATAGACACTGAGATAAAAAACAAAATATTACAACGAATTTTTCAAAATGTTTTCCGTTCCTTTCAATACATTTACATAATATATTTACGTAGTACTTGAAAAAAATGTTTTCTAACGCGAAAAAACATTTCCGCTTTATTTACTTTGCAGGAATTCATTATTTTTGGGCGCTAAGCATTCATATTATTTACCGGCGTAAAATAGACGAAAGCTTTTAAGTGGTTCCAAAAGCGAAATCCATGTGATTAATATCTGGCGAAGGGGGCGCCCAAGATAAAGATCCGTTCCCTCCAATCCACTTACTCGAAAATGCATTATTTAGATATCCACGCACTACTAAATTATAATGACGCCATCCTGAACAAGCCACATGTTTAACCTGGTTTGTAGCGGAACATTTTCAAACAACTCTGGAAGTACATTTTCAAAGAAGTCCCAACGTAACATGATGTAAAAATACATCGTAGAAATTAGGTCCCATACATAGGTCCGGTCCATACGTTTAAAGGAAACCGGAACTGATGCTCTGACAGCATGTGGATTATCATAAGCCCATTGATGAGTATCGCGAAAATTCATTATTCAAATCCCTTCTAGGGGGAACCGTGCTTCATCTGTAAATAGTATGGTTTCAACGAACTCATTACATTCTTATAATTTTTTAGCATCACCCTCATAAAGCGCCTAAACTGTTTGTACATGAAAGGAATTCAGCTGCTGCTCACGAAAAATTTCCCAAACTGTAGAGGAAGGGAAGCATTCTTGGTACGGTATTTTTCTAGTACTCGTGTCTGGATTTTCTAATACTCTTTTAAGAATCCTTTGTTCTCTTGCAACAGTGCTAACTTGGTCTTCCTCTAACAGCAAAATAATTTTTAAAGAAACCTATTTCACCAAGCCGCCTGGGAACGTTGATAAAATTCTCGTGACTTGGAATATTTCTCTCAGTATACGCTGCGAGGTAAAGACATCTAGCACATCACGGTACGCAACATTTCAATATTATCGTGCTTTTTGCAATCTCAATTTGCTTCTAAACAAAAAGGTTTTTTCAGTGGTGTGAAGAGCACATTTTTTTCTACTATTTCGCAATTTTTAAAATCGAGTATTTCCTTTTGTGATGTTTGGCGTGTCAAAAAAATTATGCGGAAATAGTAGTTTTTGATACAAGGGCGAAAAATGTCGTTTTTCGAACGACGACGTCATTTCTTGAAATGTCATGTTTTGAAGTTTGTAATTAAGTTTAAGTACTTTTGTATGCGTATATAATGAGTTTTGAAAATCCAATGGCCTGTACACCGCCAGATGTTAGAGGTGCCGCAAATATTGTTTTCAACTTGAAACACCTGTGGTCTTGGGATGGTGTATGCATGTTGCATACTCTGCATATTTCCGCTTCTTAAAAAGATCGTGTTTTACGTGTGACAATATCGCAAAAGTAGATAAGTAGGCCATTAAAACGATTATGAGACTGAACTTGTAACAAAGGTATAATTTACAAATTCTAAGTAAACTT